TTTGTCTCAACAATTGAGACTACATCCAGTTCTTTATTCAAACAAATCAAGTTTCACTATCTTATCCAAGATACAAGTATTATTTACCAAGTCACTTCTAACTCAGCTTTAAGTTTTCTTTGACTTGTCTCTTCAAGCTATTACCCAAGTATTCTTTTTACATAAAGCCTCTCCAAGCTTTAACATCGAGTATTCTTTTATAGAAAAGTCTCTCTAAGCTCAAACCCAATAACTTGAAGTTACAAAGATTTATAGAGTTGCTTCATCTTCCTTTCAAGATATAATATAACAAGAAAAGTACAAAGATTTTTACAAAAAGAAAGAATATAGCTTTTTACAATCAAATTTTTTTTTTTGAACTCTAAACATTTTTTATATGGCTTTAGTTAAGATCACCATTGCAAATCTTTGAGCTTATCTCTCATGGTTTACTTCATCGGTCTTCATGATTTGCATCTTAAGGAGAAAAGTCTTTATTGGTGTAATAAATACTTGCACTGATTTGTCACTTTAAAGAAGCTACTTATCATCTTTTTGGGTACCAAGTGGGTAAAACCATGCATATGCCAAGTTGTCATAGTGATGAAATAGCTTTTAACTGCAATTTTTCATGTTTACATGGATTTGTTTGTCCTTTTCTAATGCAAAGCATGACTTTATTATTTTCTTTTTGTAAAAATGTAGGTACCGAGGAAGTATTTTTAAATTTGATTTGTTAATGAAACATTCAGACATGGTCAATTTCTTGTTTAGAGATCACAAATCATAAAGATTTAATGCATATCTCTTTTCATATCTAAAGGTTCTTCTTAGCAACAAGATTGTCATAATGTAGCTTTCATCTTTACAAAGATTTGTCTTACTGAGAGGTTGCATCTTACTAAACAATTCATCTAGTCATTTTAAAAACTTATTCTATTGATAAAAAATCTCTTTGTTTGTTAATAGTAAAACTTTAAATAAGAAGAATTTCAGATTGTCTTTTGACATAACACTAAGGTATCTGTGCGATCCTATCATTTCAAATCTAGTCCATGTACTCCTCGGGGTTCTCCTCTCAAATTTCCTCCATGAGTGTTTTAAGCTTTAAAAATCAAACTTTTTATGACATAAAACCTCCTCTACTCACTTTTTTAATAAGACTCTAGGTTAGTCTTAAGAGGTCAAATTCAAAAGTTTCTCTTTTAACCCACGACTTAATCTCTATTTTATTTTATTAATAAAAAATATTTTATTTATATCACAAGTTCAATTAACTTAATTAATTAAACTTATAATATAAATTGTATTTAAAAACTTTATTTTATTTATTTATTAAAAAAAAAAGATGTTACAGTGGTGATGACAATTTCAATGATATGGTAATGATAATAACAATGATCAAAAGCAACTTCAATGATGACAATACATGATAATTTTATTTGGAATCTTTTAATTCTAAACATTTATTCCAATTTCAGAGTTTGGGACTCAACATTCTTATTATTATTACATAAGAATGACATTCTTATAACATATGTTAAATATATATATATATATATATATATATATTAATTAGGTGGGAGTATATTAACATTTTCCTAAAAATATTTCGAAATATTTTAAAGAACAAAACACACATTTTATCAATTAAAATAATAAACATTAAAAAAAAAAAAATCATGCACAGCCGCTCTACCTATAGCCACATTATTCCACTAGCCACACCCACACCAGAGTCGTCATCCTTTTCTTTTTCAAGGCATAGCAAAGTAAACCACCTTCTTTTCCATCCTAATAACACCACTTTCTTTTCCATTTCACGATTCTCTTCCTCCACCTTAGCCTCATGCTTCATCAGCTCGAGTCAAAACAAATTTATTTCTCACCTCCTACCTTAAAATGCAAATGTGCTCCTCTTCTTTCTCCTCCAAATTTGTCTTTTCTCATCTTATGTTTTTAAAATTTAAAACAGTGTAATTTGAATTGATGTAAAAAGCCTTTTTATAAAATCTATTTTAGAACCAATGTAAAATATATATTTTTTAATTACAAAAATGTCACTGAATTATTTCCTACACTGATTGTTACAAAATTGTTGTATAAAAGGGGATATAAAATGATGGTTTTGCACTAGTAGTGAAACAAGGTAATTTACATGTAAAAGAATTATTTGTGGATTTTCTTTTCAAATATTATTTTTAAATTAGTAAAAATATATATAAACCAATAATAAATAGATTTGTAAGAAATCTTTTATAAATCGTTGCAATTTTGTTTTTAAAAAATTAATAGCTTATTGCAAATATAAATTTGTAAGAAAAATCATAAGAAATGTATAAGGAATTTGGTCAGCAAAGAGATTGTGCAAGTGCTATGTATACAGGAGACTAAAAGATCAAAGATTAGCAAGTTACTTTGTTAGTCATTGCGGGCTGATTGCCAGGTTGAGTCAGTAGTGGCTCCAGTAGTCAACACAACTAGTACTCTTTTATGCTTGTGGAATAGAGATTGTTTGGAGTTAATAAACCGATTTTCGAGCGTAGGATACATATATATATATATATATATATATATATATATTATACATTAT